ATTTTAGAAGGGACGCACGTGTACATATGAGTTGGCCGACTCATATAAACCTTGCCCAATATACATTTGTCCAAATCGGCAAATGTGCATATCCTCCCATAAAAGCATATAATATGTTTTGAAAAAAAACAAGAACTAGAATAACAAGAGATACTTATCAATGTGATTGTATATAATGTGGTCATTTACGTTTGATAGAAAATGGTCACAATTACTTACAACCATCCAATGTGAAATTTGATAGCTTGGATGCGTCACAAAGTTCAAAAAAATTTATTTTGAAGTTTGAGCTTGGTCAATAGAATAATTGCAGCAACCTATTTTCACTTTCAATGGTCTAAATTAATGTGACCACCTTGTACCAAAGGTCAATGATCTTATTCTATACTTTCCCCTTATTAATTGCCTTTGCATATGTTATATCAAACAAATTTGATCGTTTTATTGGGGTTATTGAACAAACACACCATGATTTATTTAATCGTTGTATTGGGGTTATTGAACAAACACACCATGATTTATTTGATCGTTTTATTGGGGTTATTGCATTGAATAAGCTGTATTATTTGTAGCATCTCAGATTATACATCTATACTACTTTCAGTTGAAGCGCCAATAACATGGATTTGAAATTTGAACGAATTTGAATGTGAGTGGGATTTTTCTTAGTAATGGTGGGGCATGCATGCCTTTCTTTTGCAAAAGGGCAAATTAAAGGCAACAAGAAAAGGGGCTATTCGTTGGGCTAATCAATTGGCACTCACTACACAAGATAACTTCGAAAAAGATAACTTTAAAAGTTGTCTAAGAAATATATATATCCAATAACTCTATGATCTCTTATTTTGCTACATCCAGTTTAAATGATGTTTATATAGAAAACTACAATCCCACAGAATGATTTGGAGGATTATGACGATAATCACACCATATATTTTTTATAATTACTTGAGGGACATAAAAGAACAAGTAGAAATGTTGGTTACACCTTGAAATCGAGGGATTTGAGGCAGAGGGCGAGATTTATGTGTATGATAATTCCCATATGCTCAATTTTTGTTCAGGCGGCTAGCAGTAAGCTGAAAACAATATCACATATTAATTACGTTTTAACAAACTTGATTAATGTTAGGTTATTGACTCACACCCAACAATTCGATCAAAATCATTTGGACCATAAATCCCCAAATTACGGAAACACAAAAGATTACCCTAAGATCGATAGTAGAGGAGAAAGAGTATACCCTGTACTCAAGAGAGCATGCTGCATAATGCTTCCTACAAGTCTATCTCTTGATAATAAAAGCATTTAAAAGAAATGTATATAATAAGACTATTTACTTTTGATATAAGGAGGTCACAATCATCATTGACCATTATATTTGAACTCGGGTGTTGAATATATGTCATTGTTTAGACATAAAGTTTAAAATAAAATTTATCGATTTTTGTAACACAATTTCATCTATTGAATTTCGCATCTAAGGGCTAAAAACAATCGTAACTTTCTTATACAAAAAATAAATGATCTCATAGTATACAATCCCATTTTTAAAACATAGTACAATTTTCCAAAATAATTTGCGTAAAGTTGTATCGGGGAATTTAAATATGATAATTTTATATAATGGAGAAAAACAATCAGGAATACTTTTGACCATTGTTTAGGAACTCGCCTCAGCCGAGGGACTCGATCCTTGGCCAAGGCAAGTTACTCGCCCATGTTCAAGTCCTGTAAAAGGCTAAAACTTGTAAATAAATTAGTAAAAATTAAACAATAAAAGAAAGGTAGTTAAGGTAAAATAAAACTAAAATCAACCTTGAAAGTCTAAATAAACTTAAACAACTATAAAAAAAATGGTTTGAAAAAATTGACTTATAGTTGTGGACATTTTAAAAAACAAAAATAATAATAATATAAAAATTAAGATTATGGCAAAAACACTTACCAATCTTTACCAAAAACATCCAAATCATAAATAAACAAATTATAGAACAATTCTAAATGTTTTACAATTTTTTGGAATTTTATTTGTGTGACCGAGTTGTATGCACAACTTGGGGGCATCGTCTATAGGGCAAGGCCAAGTCACTCCCTTGTGACTGAATGGACCTAGGCATGTCTTATAGCACTGATTTTTGCAAAACTTGGTAAAAGAACTCACCAAAAAGAATATAGAAAAAATTTGTATAAGGTTGCAATCTTATATTATTAAAGTAAGGTTTACATAAAAATCCACTAGAAGATATTGTTACGGCACTAGAGAACCCTCAATTCAATTATCTTGACCTTGAGATGTGAGGATATTAAGAAAAAATAATTTGATGTCCTAAAAATATTACATCTATCCAGACCACCTATTCTCAAGATTTATTATTTTTGAAATTTCAAATTTCATAACTAAGGATAAAAATAGAGTTTCAATCTATCATATGGCTCACGAGAAGTACATCTCCTAGTAAATTTTAGAGATGTCTTATGCTTCTAGTGTGCCTTATATTCAGATTTTATTTAAATAAGGGGAAATTGATCAAATTACCCGTAAAAGATGAAGAATTTAATGATTTACCCATATTTTTTAATTTAAATTTTAAAATATCCATAGAAAAACATAACCTTGAGCCAGGATACTTGCAATTGAGCAAATTGTTATATAACTTTTATAGATATTTTGAAAATCTTCCATTACATTAATAGAAAACATTAAGGATCCCTAAATTTAATGGAGAGAGTGGACATCAACTGTCCACCATGGTCCATTTATGGTCCCATCTCGATAAGGTTTTAAAAAGATGAATCGCTTACGGGGATCCCCTCCCTCATGATACCTGAATTCTGTTTTTTATTATTTTATATCTAAATTTTATCAATCCGGACAATCCGGATTGGTACAACAAGTGGGTGATCCAAAACCCGATTCCAGATTTTAAGACATTGCACAATGGAAATCAAATAGAATATTCACTTATGAACCACAACGTAATTAGGAATTGAGGTGGATATGTTTCTTCTGTACCATGCATAATGCATCATGGCATATCTTACGACATGCGTTGAACTAAAAGCATTTGGAACTTATGAAATGTTAAGGTTGTGTTTGGATGTTGCTGTGCCCAAATACATGCCACATGCGTTTTGGCTGTTTTTTAGGCGATTTTGGGTTTGTGGCTTCGTTTTATAAAACTTGATGTAAACTAACTTTTTTGCATTTTTATAAGATATGAAATTTATAAGTATTTGACTAGAGTGTAACCTTAGATAGAGCAAAAAGGTGGAACATGATTCATGTAATCAACCCCAAATAACTTGAATAAACATTTGATGATGATGTAATCTATAAGCAATCTGTTAAAAATTGCAACCAAGAAGAGTGATGCTTGTCATCATTACCCTAAGCACAAGTTGGTTCTGGTGGAGCAAAGTTGATCTATATGATCATAGAAAAGCTCTTTAGCCTTTTACTAGCTACTGATAGAGTGGAAACCACATGAACATAAGATGTATTGGATTTGGTGATAGCTAAATCACAATACTCATATTTTCTTCTAAAGATTAGGGTATTATGGAAAATAAAAAACCGACTTTATTGGGAAGCAAAAAAGTGATATCTTTACTAAAGAGTTAATGAGAACATAATACCCATCATTTGAAGGTCACCCCTTTGGGGGTTAAGGGAATGGAGTTGTAATATGGAAATGAGTCTCCAAGAGAGAGACATGACTTCTGAGAGAGGGCGATATTCTCATGAGTTTTTTGTTGGTTAAATTCTATTTCTAGAGAGATAAAATATATAAGTTGCTCTTGAGGTTATCTTTCCAGTAGCAGTATTGTGGTGAGAAAGATGATGTTGATTGACGGTGTTGCTCAATTGGGAGAACGAGCTTAAAAGGAAAAATCAGTGATGGTCTTTTTACCGATGTTTAGAGATAGGTATTATCATGTAACAAAAAACTGCAATCTTCATTGTGATAGTGGATTTTTAATTGCCAATGCCGTGGATGTAGCCCTATGGGGTGAACCATGTAAATCGTGTGTTGTTGTGGTGTGCTTTTTATGTTTGCTTTATTTATCGCACTCGATTTATAGTTGTATTCATCTACTTCGCATTTGGCCATTTAAGTACACGATCTTGGGTGGGATTCCGATATTTGGGATTCTCGATTCCGCAAGCTATGGAGTTCGCAAGAGCCCTACAATTGGTATCGGAGCATAATGTGTATACAAGGCTAAGTTTTATATTAAGAAAAAGATGAATGATACATGGTTTGAGGGGGGAAAATATGGAGGTAAAATGTTTGTGAAAATTCCACGACGAAGGCAAGTGAGAAGAAATTAAGAAATATCCATGGTTTGAGGTGGAGAAATATAAAAGCAAAGTGTTTATAAAAATTCCACAATGGATGCAAGTATGCAGAAATCAAGAAATCCATTTAATGAAGGTTTTCAAGGCAATTATTGTGATTTTGCTATCAAGGTGGAGATTATTGGGTATGGTGATAGCTAAATCACTATACATGTATTTTATTTAAAGATTATGGTATTATGGAAAATAAAAAATTGACTTTCTAGCGAAGCAAGAAAGTGATATCTTTATAAGAAAGTGGAGGAGTACATAATACCTATCGTTTGAGAGTCACCCCTTTGGGGGCTATGAGAATGGATCTCCAATATGGAGATGGGTCTGCAAGAGAGAGAGAGACATAGCCTTCGAGTGAAAGACGGTATTTTCATGAGTTTTGAGTTGGTTAACTTTCACTTCTTAAGAGAGAAAGTCTCTTGGTTGCTCTCAAAATTATCTTTCTGATAGCGGAATTGCGATTGAAAAAATGATGTTGATCGACAGTGTTGATCGGTCTAGAGAGCGGGTATAGAAGGGAAGATCGGTGATGGTCTTTTACCAATGTTTAGAGATATGTATTATCTCTTGTAACCCAAAACTTTAACCTTCATTGTGATAGTGAATTTCTAATTGCCAAGGCCGTGGATGTAGCCATACGGAGTGAACCACGTAAATCATGTATTGTTGTGGTGTGCTTTATATGTCTGCTTTATTTCTCATACTTAATTTATAGTTCTATTCATCTACTTCGCATTTAGTCAATCATGTACAAGATTTTGGGTAGGATCCCGATGTTTGGGATTCTCAGTTCCGCAAGCTAAGAGGTTATTGAGATCCCTACATGTTGCTCTGTGGTTGGTCCACTCTCTTAATTGTTACCAGTCCATTGATTAAGTGGTGATGGGGACTCATGACCATAGCATTTCTATGGCCTACAAAACCATATCTAGTTGAACAATACAATGCACAATGATTTGTTCCTTATTTCCTTTATTTTATAACGGAAGTCAATGTCTCTTCACCTCAATTTCATGTTAGAAAACTCAAGCAAATAAGCTTGAAGGAATGGTATTGTATACTATGAGACCATTTATCTTTGTTACAATGAAGTCACAATTACTACTAGTCATTAGATGATGGCTTAGGGAATGTCATGAAGTACAATTTTTTAATTTAAACTTTGGATCTAGTCAATGAAGCTCTTACAACCACCCGATTTCAAATCTGATGGACAAGATTATTTGTGACCTCTTTGTACTAAAAGTAAATGGTCTCTTTGTATGCATTTCCGGAGATGTTAAGTGTTAGCTGTCTTAATCATTGTACATCAGCAAATGATTCCTACTACAAAATAAGGAAAAATGAAGCTGAATATGTGAACTAAATGTTTTCAGTACTATAACTAAATAGATTGGTAACAAATCCAAAGATTGAAAGTTCCAAAATTGATAAAATGAAAAAAGTATTTCACAGCATCGCAAGAAGAGAAAACGTCAAAATCAAAGCAAAAGTCTGCAAACAGATCCGTCCCTTAGCTTTTCTTCCTCTTCCTACTCCAGGTAAATTACCTGCAATGTAACCACCAATGGACATTTAGTAGCGGTTTCCCCTGGTTTGCTCATAGTTACAGTTTGGAGCTAAGAGGAAAGAAGGAGACAAGCAACAACTGCGACATTCATTCACTTACCACAGTCATGTGTGGTGTTAAGGGCAGGCGAACACAGGCACAACAAGCGATCAGTCTGTGAATCGAACCCGCACGTGCCTCCAGACCTCCGACATTCTGCACATGTTCCCTCTGGCACTGCATAAGTGAGCTCGATCCCAAATGGCCAATCCAAGGGACTTAGTCCTCTCAAGCCATCCGCATTGTACACTGTAGTGTAATGGGAGCATCCGATTATGTCTAGCCCCATGAATCTCAATGTCGTATAATCTGTTGCGCAACAAGGCGGAATGCCAGTGATGTTCGACCGGAACATCCAGTAAGCCCCACAAGCTCCATAGATCTCACTGCAAGAGTGCCCGGAGAAGTTGGTGCACAGTGACGAGTACCTGTGCAAAACTGGCGAGTCACTGGAGCAATTTAAAAGAACAAATTCAGTTTCTGGCGATGGGGGGATAAGAGAATACTGGATATCCGACATCGTGAAAGCCTTTCGAGGCTGTAATGAACTGCACGTGGATGCTGCTGGATCGAATATGACCATGGTTTTCTTGTTATAGTCGATGCTAATGACTCTGTATGAGCCAGAATCTGTCTGGAAGAAGAGACTTCCGGCGGTGCAGTTGAGCATATTTCGATAATCAGGGGTGCCACAGCCATCATCAATACCAAATGGAAAATCAATTGAAATTGTTCCGCAAAATTTCTGACAGGCATCAATGCCGAGAGCTGGAGGTAAGTGAACCAAGAGACTGAAGAAGAGGAAGAGGAGCAAGATGTTGCAGCAGTTCAGGGTTAGAGATTGCATTTTTCACCTAATGCTTGCAATGAGGAGGAAAGGGAAGTAATAAGATGCGTCCTTTTTCTTTATGAACATGGAGCTTTATTGGATGCTCTATTTTTTCTTCCATTCTGAAGGTTAAATGAGATTTACAGATCTTTTGTGGGGTCTCTAATGGCTGCGAAAGTCGTTAAAGTGGAAAGAGAGATGATTGCTTTACTGGAAGCAAAGCAACGACAAGCAATCCATACATCAATCACGAGTATGTTAAGATCCGAATTCCTCTTCCTTGAAATGATGCGTGAGAACGCATTTTTTTAACTAATTGAAGTCAATTTTACCTTCATCATCATCAACCATTTTTTTTAACTAATTAAAATCGACTGCACATAATCCACAATTATACTCTATTAAAAGCTCCAAGACCTGAACCACAATTATACTCTATTAAAAGCTCTACTCTCAATACGGCCATAAGCCTGAACCACAATTATACTCTATTAAAAGCTCTACTCTCAATACGGCCATAAGCCTAAACCACAATTATACTCTATTAAGAGCTCTACTCTCAATAAGGCCTAAATCCCTTTATTTTTTTTTTATCAATCTTTTTCGACCTACGCCATACTCATTTTTATCCAAGAAAAGTGAACTCTTTTTTATCTAAAAAAAAGTGAAAGACCTTCAACTTTCCCTAGATACGTAAAAAAAACCGGAATGTGTTAAGTAGACATCAACAACATAAAACTTTATCAAAACATATTATTTTCACTAAGATGTCAATGTGCCTCTATTAAGAATCAGATATAATCTGACAAGATTATGATAAAGTCTGATTAAATTAGAAATTAGCCAAGACCGAACCAAACAATGAAGGTAGGGTCCCTCATCAACCCTTGTTTTATTTCTTTGAATTTTTATTTTTAATATTTTTACTATTCCAATTGGAATTCCAGCTATTTGACGTAATTCTAGCAATTTGAATTTGTAGGGATGGCAATCCACCCCGCCCTACCCATCCAGGTCTCCCCACAACACAGACTAAATACAGTCGATGATTTTGATATGATGGACCAAATTTGTGATAAATTTCCCCTTCAATACAAAATTCTATCCAACAGACTTCAATCTAATAAATTTTAGATCCAAATGAGTCAATGTATTAAAGGGAAAACATTAGATGTAATATTATTAGATAGAAGTCTACTACGAAAATTTATTTTGAATATCGTACTCAGCCACCCAATTTTACATCTTGCAGTTAATAATAGTTGTGAAATTAATTGTACCAAAAGTAAATAGAATACATTTCCTTGACAAAGGGATAGGAAATTGATTTTTGCCATTATGCAACCTGGTAGATGAAAAACCACTTGCATTTCAATAGGATGGGTTGGGCCGGGCCCTTGTTTGTACAAGGCCAGGCCTTGCTTGGACACCTCTCCCTGATTTAAGGCCGGGCTGGAGCAAATAGAATCCAACAAAAAAGCAAATAGAATCCAATAAAGAAAACGAAAGCTTGATGATTAAATATCCTTACTAATGATTACATGTCCTTAATTTCACGTATTTTTGAGTTCATTGGATAATCAATCTAGCGATCAGAATAAAAAAAGTGCGTTTCAAAACAGAGGGAGAAATAAAAAAGGCACAAAATGTAGAAATAACACCCCCAGCGGATGAAGAGTAAAGCAGACATTAACCCCCAAAATGCACACATGTATATATATATATATATATATATATCTAACTCTAAACACAACTACTCACATGAATCCCAAATCATAACCAAAATACTCACATAGCCTAAACAGAGTTGTTTATAGGAAGCAAGAAAAGAGAGAAAGAGGACCCGAAAATACACATCACAATCAGACAGCATACACAATGAAGCAAAGAGTGGTGAAGAGGTATTTTCAGACTTTGGTGAACCGAAGGTAAGGCTTGCCGGAGGGCAGGTCAACAGTCTGATAGCCCTGAGGGAACATCTTCTTCGCTTCCTCCTCGGACACATTGGGTGGGATGACGACACGGTCGCCGGGATTCCAATTTGCAGGTGTGGCAACCTTGTGCTTAGCTGCCAGCAGGAGAGAGTCCAATGCCCTTAGCACCTCATCCATGTTCCTACCCGTTGTTCCTGGATACAGGAAACTCAGCTTCACCTGGGTTATCAGTTAAGAAGAATCAGATTCAGAAACGAGGTATCAGTGTTGTGGTTACCTTAGCAAGTACGTTATAGTTTTCGGGACATCATTGTGCTCGTCTTTTTTTTTTTATCAGAAATTAATCAAAATGGTTAATAAGGAAATTTTAATGAAGGGGAATTTATCAAAATGCACCTAGAAGATAAACTAATTCAACATCAACCATTTAATCTCAAGAAGCTCATCAAAATCAACATGATCATGAATCAAAATACGCATGACAATGAGTTGAAATAGAATAAAATGTTAAATAATTGGTAAGTCAGGTGTATTTTGATAAATTTGCCGTACATATTCAATTACAGCATACTTCATTGTGGAATGGATCTTTATCATGATCAGAAAATATGATGAAATCATACACAGTTAAAAAACATTTCAAGAAGTTGACAATAATTTCATAGGCATCAAAATTAAAATATTGAAAAGCATAGCTTGCCGAATTGCTCTCATTTGGCTTATATAGATTCTAGAGCTACTTCGAGGAAAATTACATGTTTTTTGTCAATTTCAAATGGCTCATCTTGCACTCGCATTACATGTTATTATCTTTTCATATTTTGTGTTATTACCAGGGAAAGTTCTTTTTATCGTGACAATAACAGGAAGCCTCAAAATATCATGATAAACTCATGTTATTGGGATATAGTTATTCATCGCAAACAAACTCTGTGATAAAATACACAAAATTTCATTCACTGAAATATTTGTCACTGAGGTGGTCACTACTGGTATTTAGCATCCAAAACAAAATAAAGATGAAAACCAGATGAACAGTTTACCCTCTTATCGGGGCCGACTATATGCAAGGCACGGGAAGGAAGGGGTTTCCCTTGATTGTCTTTCAGGTCTGGATCCACCATGTTCAATTGTTGAATTATCTCCCTGTTCGGATCTGCTAGTATTGGATATGTCACGTTGCTACCTGGCTGAATACTCAGGCAGTTGAATAAACACATAAGAGAGAGGAAGAAGAGGGCTCTTGGCTGCTTTCAAAAAGAGGAGATAAAGAGTGTTACAGTGTAGGCTTCGATGTCCTTGATCCATTCTTTGTGAGAGTTAACATCATCGCAGGAGATGCCCAAAAGCTTGACCCCACGCTTCTCAAACTCCTTTGCGTAAGCTGCCATCTTCCCCAGCTCGGTTGTGCACACTGGAGTGAAATCCCCTGTTCATAAGCAGGCCCACTACATTTAGAGAGAGAGAGGGGCTCAAATTTCAGAGATTGTTTAGGCTCTTTCATTCTCACGTTTGGATGATCAGCCCGAGAGATTCATGCACATATTTCCCAAGTTGGCGACACAAGCTTGCAAGAAAAGAGAGCCTACTCTCCTCTTGGTGGTCAGCCCAATGTTTGCAAAATCGGGCCGTTCAAATCGGAACCGCCCTGTTAGAGCTGTTCAAATCGAAACCAGCCGGTGTCATGTTCAAGTTTTGGTAATCCAGTCAGGTATTTTTCAAAAAAGTTCAAAAATAATTATATAAAATCCCAAAAAATAAGGTAGTTATTTGTATTGTATTTTTTGAATATTTTTCATTAGCAAAGATTCGAAAAGTGTTTTTCCCATTAATATTTATATTTATATTTTCCTTTTTTATAAAATTTCAAAAATACCCCTAAGCACAATTCCAATTTTTAAAATCTATTTTTCCACTAATTTTCAACTTCAAAAGAAAAAACTATTTTTTCATTTCAATTGAATGTGCTTTGTTTAATCATGCTTTACATATACTCTTTTTTTCTTTTTTTTTTTCATATTTTCTTAGATGTATTTTGTAATTTTTTTTTTTTAACAATAATTTGACTGGCCAGCACTTTCCCAGTAAGGCCAGTTGAACTGGCCGTGTACCGCCTCTTAACCGGTTTCCCAGGCCACTTCAATTTTTTGAACAATGGGTCAAACCAAGAGAGAAGAGTATAAGATAAATAGAGATTTACGTGTTCAAGATTAAGAATCCCAGCTAACCAAAATGCGTGTGAGAAGAGAGAGAGAGAGAGAGAGATAGTACCAGGGTGGGAGAAAATGATGGTCCAGCTGTTGTCAACATGGCCATGGAGGTTGATGCGGCCGTGACTGGAATCCGCTTCGATGTTGGGTATGGTATCACCTATCGTTAGTCCCGGCATTCTCTCTCTCTCTCTCTCTTGCGCAGCTACAATGGCAATGTCCGTGTCTGTGAGGAGGACTCTCGTACGGTGGATTGGTGGAGAATATACATGGTGATGGTGGTGGTGGTGGTGGTGGTATTTAAGGAGTGGGAGGTGGTTTGCATGTCAAATACGTGGCTCCACCGTTGTGAGCTCGTATACGCCTGTTCTTCTACGTGTCGCGCGTGTCAATCTTCGTAGTTGGGAGTGGACAAAAAAAGATTTTATTTTTTTAGCTGTTTTTCGTTTTCGTGTATTTCTTAAAATAATTTATTAAAAGAAAAAAAGTTCATATAAGTTTGCATCATGTCGAATTATATTGGGAAAAGTTAAGTTTTAGTATTTTAAAACCTTATATATGATCATCTCAACATCGAGATGCATAATTATAAATAAAAAATAAAAAATTTGTATTTCAGAAATAGTGCATCTTGCAACACATTATTTAGACCGTCCATTTTCAAGATTTTTAGGTGTTTATAGATCTACTTGACTTTAATATTTTTTGAGTTTAAAATTTTATAATTAGATATAAAAATAGATTTTAAGATAATCTTAAGAATTTTTGTCCAAATATTACATTCCATGATAAAATTTGGAGGTGCGCCTTAATTGGATTGTTGAGGGTTGCAACCTATAGAAACCACACCCTTATTAAAATGCCTAATTTTCTTTGTCCCGCAAATTTAAGAGATTTTGTAATGAAAATCCCCCTAACACTACAAATTATTTAACTAAAGTTGGTAGAGGAGTAGTGGAGGCCAGTCAAATTATGATCTAAGGGATGGTCTACTTAAATGGGTGGATTTCTCAGATCATCGACAGAGCCGGTATAGCCAATGTGCCAAAATAATAATAAATACAAATAAATAGTATTTAACCAAATGATCAAAAGTAGAGAAAAAGATGGAGAGATACATGCCCAGGCCAGTTGCCCGAAAATGCCTGAAGCCAGGAGTTTCACCTGTATCAGGACCGCGACGACGATGCAAATAAATGTATACTTTACAAAATGATAAAAAATAGAGAAAAGGATGAAGAGTTATCTATCCAAGCCGGTTGGCCCAGAACGCATGAAACCCAGAATTTTGCATGTATTAGGATGCGGTTGTGTTTACATAGTTGTCCCCTTTCTTTCTCTTTAGGATTGACCAAGCTTTAGAATGATGGTTTTCCTATATTTCTAAGTTAGGGCTTTCTTGATTCTAGTATTTGGGAGCTGAAATATTGCCCTCTTTTTTTTTTTGGTTATTCGATGGGTAAGCCCCTAAAAGTTTTTTTCAAGGAAAAAGTTTATATCAGGTGTCAACCTTACATTGTATAAGTAAGGTGCACTAAAAAAATCAATGGAGAAGGTTTTTCCTATGTTGTAAAACCCTCAAATTGATTATCTCAACCTCAAGATTCATAGATCTGAAAAAAAAGAAAAAAAAAAAAAAAAGAGGATTTTTAAATCCTAAAAAAGTTTCATCTTGTAATACATTATTTGGACCGTCCATTTTCAAGATTTTCAAACATTCATAGATTTGCTTGATTGTCACCATTTCCGGAACTTCGAATTTTATAATTAGGGGCAACAATAAATTTTCGTATCGCCACAAGACTTTACATCGTTGAAATTATATTTTTGGCATAGTTTTGAGGTGCACTTTACTTCAATAGTATAAGGTTGACACCTTATATCGAGAATGACATGGGGCCATGGCGGTAGTATTGCCAAGTCCATGATGAGGTCTCCGACTCCTCCATTCTCACCAAAAGGTAAGGGCCCAAATCTCCACTGACTTACTACTTTTGAGAATGACATGGGGCCTTAGCGATAGTATTGTCAAGCCCCATGATGTGGTCTGACTCCATTCTCACCGGCCCAAATCCCCATTGATTATGATGAAGTCTCTAGTTCCATTATCATCAAAGGGTAGGGGCCCAAATCCTCACTGACTTACCTTTTTTTTCTTTACACCTTATACAAACCTCACCCTTTTTTCGAATATATTAGGAGTTAGTTTTTTGAAGGTGTCAGTGGGTGGTGTCAGTAGGATTGGAAACCGCAACGCGCTACCTAGGTATGGGGTTGCTACCACCACAACCAAGCCCCTTTCCTAGTTATCAGGTCATGGTTTCCAATCCCATTGAGACCACCCACCAACTCTTTCAAAAAAAAAGCTAGCTCCTAATCCATTTAAAGAAAATGGGTAGGGGCATGTCCTCACTTAATTACCAAAAAAAAAAAAATCCCCATATTGTACCGGTTGAGTCAGCTCATTAAAATACTTTTTGCACTTTTGCAATGTTTGTGTTTTTAGATTGTAATTATGTATCCGTAACTATTTCACTGAGTATCTTGATGGTTCCTTAATTATATTTATTTTATCTACAAATAACTCAGGGGTGTTATTCTTAAAAGAAAAGATAATCTTGCACCAGTTCTTGGAGAAGAAATCTAGGTAAATTATGCGGGCATTCTTGAAATTCATGAAAGATTTATGATGATAAAGAAACAATAGTGTAATAAGACTCTTGCGGATTGTCTTATTGGGCTTTGGATACCCATTGTGGGATGAACTTAGCTCATGAGCCTTCTTGCGTTATGGATCCCAATGTGGGGTTGGGCTTTGCTAATGAGCCAATGGGCCTAGCTTGGTCCAACGGCTTATCAGCTACCAATTTTGAATTAGAACCACATATATGTATCTATGACTGCAACAATATAGTTATTTTTCTAAGTTCAACCTCATAAGAGTTTCTCCCTCTCTCTATAACAATGGAGGCTCTTATGTGAATTGATATTTGATAAAGTAACTTAGCAGTCTTTAATATGCAAAGAATTACTCATTTATTGATCAAAGTCTGGGCTAAAAAAAACCTCCCCGTTCTTTGGGATAAACTAGCTTGACAAAGTTTGGGCCAGGTACAAGCATGATATGGAAGCCATAATATAATGTATTGTATAATAAGAGACTATTTATTTTTGGTACAAGAAAGTCACAATCATTTTTTGTTATTGGCTGTGAAATCCAATAAATAAAAGTGTCACAACATTCGGAAAATTTTATTTTGAACTTTGTATTCAAACAATGACACACCGTCAACCATTCGATTTTAAATTTAATGGTCAATGATGATTATGACATTCTTGTATGAAAGGTGAATGATCCCATTATATACATTTCCATAATATAATATGATCAATGTGTATGACATTTCTAATGGATGGGTTATTGATGGTTGGTGATAATGATCACGTTACACGGGTTACATTTGGGTGGAGCAATCTCTCTCTAAAATCTCTAAATCTAAAGAACGTATCTTTGAATAACATTGTATCTCTCTCTCCCTTACGCCTAGTTTCTCTCTCTCTAGTTTCTATCTCCCTCTTTTTTCTTTCTTAATGAATTAATTTATTGGATGGATTTTAAATAAGAATCAATTTTATAGATTATTACTAAATATGGTATCACCCTCTCTCACATCTTAGACTATGCATACTCTCTCTCTCCCCTTAAATTTATAAATGTGTCCCACAATCTCTATAGAATTAGTCCCCTCCTTATTTTCATGACACAGGTCCACCCTTTAACTCTCGCTTACCTATAGATAGATATAGATATGGATGAAAGAGAAAAATGGAAGATAAGTTTCGGGAAGGGGAGAGAAAATTTTCAACTCAAAATCACTTTTTAAATAACATTCTCTCATGAAAATGTGGTCTACAACAACAAATACCAAGTTTAAACATATGCGGGAACAAAGGTAGCATGCAAATCGTTCTCATAGGCATGAAAAGAAAATACATATGAATGTGCCTAAAAATATATTCCATTACAGAGCAATGAACAAACGTAATACAATTCATTACCTAATTTATCACATAAACATGAACTTCATAATCACTAAGACAATGTAGAAAGCAATGGTTTCCAGGCCAACTTAAAATATTTATGGAGGAAACTACGTGAAGTTAAAGTGCCAGATACGAAAACATCAAGTTGTCATGTCACCTAAACATGAACTTGACAGGCACAAAGACAATGTAGAGAGTAGATACTTACCAGGCCAACTTAAAACATTTATGGAGAAGACTGTGTGAAGTTAAAATGCCAGATACGAAAACATCAACTTGTCCATTTTTCATATGAAATCACTAACAAGGAATATCAGGTTTAATTTGGGGGAAAATATGAGCAATGAGGAGTGTCATTTCTCTGCTCAAAATCAGTGAAAATGTTAGCATCTGGCCACAAACAAAAAGGTGCAACAGGATATGGAGTTCCACTGTAAAACCCACAAATTCCCAAGTTCTCCAAAACTGATAGAAGCAACTTCAAGAATTACAACTACTCTGGAAATGGAACGTTTTCACAATACAAGAAAGAGACAGAATGGAAACACATACCATCATTAGGGTCTCAATATGTAAGAATAAAGGTACTTCATATATTGTTTGTAAACCAAGTACCTCAAAATAAAAGCCCAAAACATGTAAGGATCAAAATGTACTCTGACATCAAGCTGAATGTAAAATACCTCCCTCCATCCATTTTGTTGTGTATGTAAAGATCAAAATTCATTTATGTTGAGGCCACGGTAGTCAAAGAAAACAACTTGGTGTGTGAACAAAATCCATCAAATAAAAAGATTTATACTATGTTCAAGAATAAGACATATTATACTAGAATTGAATTGTGTTCATCGATCAGAATGAATATGAGTTTATACTATATCTAGGAATAAGACATATTATACTAGAATTGAATTGTGTTCATCGATCAGAATGAATGCGAGTTTATACTATATCTAGGAATAAGACATATTATACTAGAATTGAATTTTGTTCATCAATCAGAATTAATACGAGCAATGAACATCAGGTTTAACACCTGCCTACAAATTTCCTGCAAAAGCTAAACAAAATAAACAAATGCATGAAGAAGTATAAGCCTTAGAATGCACCCCTTCTCTAATTCTTAGCAATGTAGTTATCTTGTAAAAGTAGACAAGATTTTTCAAATTCTGAAACTTCATCAACAACAGGATGGTGAAAGAAAAACATATT